GAGAGAACTCAATTCGGTCCGGTTTTCTGAGCGCAGACAATAAAGCATCCGCACACAGAAAGCGCGTCTCACAGCGCGCGATTACTCTTTCGCGTCGCATGAACGGAGAATTACACACAAAATGATGTCGAATTGTCCGTTTTGACGAGTATTCACGTAAACTCAGTTGATTACGTCTATCAGAACGTGTATCAGTACATTGCATCCATTGCAGCTGTGCATTCGGATTTAAAGGGACAGCAGCCTAATTTAGTTGCTATTGTCTGAGCCATTGATGTTAATCAAGCGACAAAAGCTAAAAATTTAGTGGCCTTAAAGATTAATCTAAATGTATTTATAGAAATAAATATGTCTGCTTGAAAGAATGAAGAATATGGTAAACAAGTTGGTATAAAGAATGCATAATTAGCCGATATAACCATTGGCATTTCATTAAAAAGTAGACCATGTTCTTGTTCTTTATGAGATATGTGTGTGTGTTTATGTGTGTGTGTATGTAGCCCTCTCTCTCTCTCTGCGTGCTAACTGGCCTCTAGCACTGCCGCTGCTACTCTGCGCTGTGTTGTGTGTTCGTGGGTGGTGGTAGAGAGGAGACACGGACAAAGAGGGGTTCGGGATCGTGGCTTGACCGTTTATTCCACAGCACGGCATCTATAGTGTTGATTACTAGTTTAAAACTTAAGTGAGTTAATGTTAAGTACATTTCAATGCACATTCAATTCAATAACAATCACTCGCTGCTTATATTATCATACATAGCTTTGCATCAGCCACCCCGTATTAATCACGCTCCAAAGAAAGAACAAAAAACATTTTAACTCTCCATATTACTCTGCATTTAGGTCTTTAGCAGTTTAGAACACAAAATATCTCAATAGACAGAACTTTAGAGCGATAACAACAAAGATATTTTAAATTGAAATTTCCACTACTGTTAACGTGACTTACCTATAGTGTTGATAACATGAACTGAAGAAAAGATGGCGCACTACACGCCTATCAACACTACGGTACATCAAAAGGCTCAAACAGCGCTAAAAATACTTGAATCTGCCCTAACACAACAGTGTCATAGCGACATCTTGTGGACAACACAATACACTGCCCTACATCTACAATAGAGTTCATGTTATTTGTGTATTTCGTAACGAGTTCAGTGATTGATAATTGACTGTTGAAATTGTGATTCGTCAAGCTATGACTCTGAATCATTATCTCGTTCATGAAATGTGGAAAAAGTTGAACTGAAGAACTAGTTGATATTAAACACTAGAAGAAATCTATTTTTACAACGAAATGACTCATGTTACAGTTATAAGAGGACACAGAAATGAGGGTGTTATGAATGTTAGATGAAGTGATGTATTTGTATTATTTGCTTTAAACGTATACTGATGTGATTTAACATATTGATGTATTCATGTATTCACGATTCTGTTATTCATGTGATAATTGTTGAAGAAAGAAAGAAAGCAGTCACAGCCAATACAGCTCAACGCGCAGACAGCAGCGCAAGTCCGTGTTTTCTTTTATTAATGTCTTAATTTCCCCTTTCCAGGGGTGCAACAAAAAAGTATCAAAACCCCCCACAAATGCACGTGACAGATCAACATACTGTAGTTCCTGGAAATCTACAACTCTTGTTTATAGATCTACTTTATTCATTCAGTTTTCATATTCATACAGGTTTTTTTTTTTTACATGTTGCTCAATATGCCTTAAAATTGCCCAAATAATGTTTTCTGAATTGAATTGTGTTAACACACACCTGAAGGCTCCAGACCAGCAAACTGCCAAAACATCTGCTTTTATTGAGGTGCTCACACTTGCTGATGATCAGTTAATCAAAGGCGTTTGATTAGCAGTGCCTGACTGCTACTTACCCTCTTAATTCCTATCTTAACAGTAAGGGTGTCCTAACTTTGTCACCCATGGCTTTTCCATTTTGGCTTTATTTTTGTTAAATAAAAAATTACACATCTAATGTGTTGTTGTTCATTTTTGAGCTATTACATTAGAGGTTTTATTTTCCAAAATTTAAGACCTGCTACCATATAAAGATTAAATTAAAGATTGAACAATTAAAGACTAAATGCTTCACCCAAGAACACACAGAATGAGTATACAGTATGAAGAATTGTCTGATGTGAAGTTGCAGTACCGCTAATCACCTGCAGGATTTGCTACACATCTGCACATATGGATTAAATATATTCCTCCATCTCTGTCACTTTGTTTACTGGGTAATACCGCAGAAATCGATCATCTTCCAATTAAATACAAAAATCCACCCTTATCTCTCTAACTATCACCCCAAAAGAAAAAAAAAAATTCTGCTAAACTGGAAATAAAAAAAAAATGTATACATATCAATCACTGGACTAACCTTCTTACAGAATATATAACATTAGAAAAAAATAACATACATGAACAAAAACTACATATATTTCTATTTTCTGACATTTGGAAGCCATTTTTGACTTATCTCAATATACATCAGAAACCTGGCACCGGACCCACACACTCAACAGCTACAGTATTTTACAAACTTATAGAGAGAGAAAGGGAATAAGGGGAACTAAGCCTCTCTCTCTCTATAGTCTATATAGATAGATAGATATATAGATAGATAGATATTTGTATGTATGTGTGTGTACACAGGTATTGATTAACCATATTAATGTATAGCTTTATTATCCTGTCTACTATTATAATAGCATTTCTATATATGCAATCTATATATCTATGTTCTTTCTACCCCTCCCTTTCATTTATTTAATTCCTGTATCTGTTTCCCCTACTTGATCCATTTATTTGTTTATTTATTTATTTTATTTGATCTGATTACTCCGCTGGGGCTTTGAATGAATGGCTGAATAGTTCGGGTGGATCAAACACACACAAAACTGGATTCACTTCGGCACAAGCTATCGCTATCTCTTCTATCTCTCTCCCTCTATTTATTTATTTTATTTCTTTATTTTTTACTTTTTTCTGTTTAACAACCTCACCATTTTTCTCTCTTCTTCTCAGCAATGTCACCATTTCTCTGTCCTCACAAAAAAAATAAAAAAAATAATATGGATTAAATATTGGAAACAATAACAGCAGGAAGATCCAGACCTACAGGAGTAACGTTTACCGTCTACTGTTCGATAAGATCGTCAGAGCGGAAGAAATACAACAACAGAAGAAAGGAAAGACAGTGTCAGTGAAGGTGGTTGTGAATGTGTGTAGATGTGTGTTAGTTACAGGATCAGAGAATGACACCGTTCCTCTGTCATAGTCCAGATCAACTCTCACACGGTCAAGCTTCTGTTCAACACGAAAACCAGACCAACCCAGTCCGTACCGCACACACCAGACATCAGTCTTTGAGAAAACACCTCGCTTCCTCGGGTTTGATGCTTTAGTTACTCCAAGACTCCAGCCTATACTCTCTTTAACCTCCACATCCCAGCAGTGTGTTCCTGAGTTAAAACCCTCTGAACCCAGAACAGAGTAATGATAATCAAATCTCTCTGGATTATCAGGAAGCGGTTGTTTGCTCCCGCCGTCTTTCACACTGGTCAGATTATCATTCAAGGCGAGACGTGGATCTGCAGTGTTTGGATCCAGAATCACAGGAGCTGATGAGACACAATCAACAGCCGCTTTTGTTCTGATGTTCATATAATGATCAAAAGTGAACCAAACACAGACAATCAACAGATGCTGTTATTCTGATGTTCATATAATGATCCAGAGTGAAACACACAGATTATTATGAATTATGACACTTGATTAAACACATCAGACATTTTCCTCTGATCACTGTCATTGTTATTAGTTACACACTCATTTTATTATCAGTGTTTAATGGCATTAAGCGTTAAACTCTGGCATTAGCTGATATTTTGGAAAAGTTTCAAAAACAATGAATCAATCAGATCTGTTAAGATAAAAAACTGTAACCGTATAAATTCTGTGTATGAAACTAAGTATCTTCAGCATAATCTGATCGTGTTCATTAAACTGGGGTTTACTGTGTGTATTTGTTTTCAAATACTTTGTTACGGTCTGATGTGTTTGATTTCATAATCTACACTGAACAAAATTATAAACGCAACACTTTTGTTTTTGCCCCCATTTTTCATGAGCTGAACTCAAAGATCTAAGACTTTTTCTATGTACACAAAAGGCCTATTTCTCTCAAATATTGTTCACAAATCTGTCTAAATCTGTGTTAGTGAGCACTTCTCCTTTGCCGAGATAATCCATCCACCTCACAGGTGTGGCATATCAAGATGCTGATTAAGACTGCATGATTATTGCACAGGTCTGCTTTAGGCTGGCCACAATAAAAGGCCACTCTAAAATGTACAGTTTTATCACACAGCACAATGC